AAAAAAAAAAAAAAAAAGAAAGAAATTTAAATAGCTTCCCTATTCGGCCACCCACACCCACACACCCACCTCCCCTCCCCTACAAAGTTTTTCTTACACTTCATGTTTTAATAGATATTTTGAATTTGGGTGTTATGTCTCTTAAAGGATGGGCATGGAGGGTAGGTAACAAACACAGTGTTTGAGTAAGTGAACTTTCACTGGGTGATGACGCTACATAAAAGAGCAAATTTGAAAAGAAAAGTCATATTTGCTACTAAATTGTATTAATAACTGCAAAACAGTTAAGAGCCCAGACTCTGGTGAGAGACAATTTAGTTTCAATTTCTGACTCTGTCATTTGTCAAGCTATGTGACCTTGGGCAAGTTACTTAAACCCCTCTGAACCTTAGTTTCCTTGTACGTAATAGAAGATAATAACAGTAATTTATTTCGGAGGGTGTATAAGAATTAAATTTGATAATGTAGGTAAAAACATTTAATACATTTCCTGGCAAATGGTGGGTACAATACTCAGTAAATGTCAGCAACGAGAACAGTAATGATGAAAATGGTGGGTGATGACGATGACGGCCATCATCACCCAGGCTGAGGGGAACATAAATACATAAATAATAGGGATGAGGCAGCAGGCTCTGCGCGGGGCCAGCTTCTCAAAACTGCTGCAGTCTTCTTGAGAGGAAGGGGTAGTAATGTGACTCTGTGGTTACTGGTCACGAGGACAAAAGCAATTGACAAGCCCCTCTACTCTAAGCTCTAAATGAGCTGTGTCTTCACAGCAGACCCACAAGGATTTGGCAGCAGTTTATAAATGAGATCCCTGCATATGGGTCCAAGAAAGCCTTTGCCAAATGCCTTCCAGGGTCAGAAGAGGGATATGAAATTAATTTACTGACTCTTCTAAAACGTGTCCTGTACTTCTAGGAAAAACACTGGCATTACTGTTAAATCCTTTAAACACATCAAGCTATGACTCTCACCATCTTTTCTTTGGGGCTCTTGCAATAGCTTCCTAAATGGCTACATACCAGACTTATCTGCCTTTGTCCTGTTTATCACATCCAACTAGGATTATCTTCTTTAAAAAATTTTTTTTGGCCAAGCGTGGTGACTCACACCTGTAATCTCAGCACTTTGGGAGGCTGAGGTGGGCAGATCACGAGGTCAGGAGATCGAGACCATCCTGGCCAATATGGTGAAACCTCATCTCTACTAAAAATACAAATATTAGCTGGGCATGGTGGCCCATGCCTGTAGTCCCAGTTACTAGGAGGCTGAGGCAGGATGATTGCCTGAGCCCAGGAAGCAGAGGCTGCAGTGAGGTTGAGATCATACCACTGCACTCCAGCCTGGCAACAGAGCAAGGCTCCATCTCAAAAAAAAAAAAAAAAAAATTTTTTTAAGAGACAGGGTCTTGCTGTGTTGCCCAGGCTGGACTCAAACTCCTACTCAAGTGATCCTCCCGCCTTAGACTCCCAGTATCTGGGCATACACCACTGTGCCTAGCCTGAAAACAAACTTTTTTGGAGACAGTCTCACTCTGTTGCCCAGGCTGCAGTGCAGTGGTGCGATCACAGCTCACTGCAGCCTCGACCCCCCAGGCTCAAGCAATCCTCTCATCTCAGCCTCCCAAGTAGCTGGGACGACAGACGTGAACCACCACACTCAGCGAATTTTTCTATTTTTTGTAGAGATGGGTTTCCCCATGTTGCCCAGGCTGGTCTCTTCCTGGGCTCAAACTATCCACCCACCTTAGCCTCCTGAAGTGCTGGGATTACAGGCATGAGTCAGGCACCTGGCCGAAACCGAAATCTTCAACATCTTCACTGCTTGAAGTTCCTCAAAAGCTCTCCCATCCATCACTTGTAGAAAGTGTCTAAAAACTGTTTGCAGATCATACAAAGCTTGTCATGATCTAGTCCCTGCACACAAGTTTTTACCTTATTTCTTGACACTGTTTACCTACCATATACAGCTCTAGCCTCACAAAATACTGGCAGGGGAATCTAGGAAAAAGACATCCAATTTTTTTTTTTTTTTTAAATAAACAGGGCTTCACCATGTTGGTCAGGCTGGTCTTGAACTCCCGACCTCAGGTGATCCGCCCACCTTCACCTCCAAAGTGCTTGGATTACAGGTGTGAGCCACCACGCCTGGCCATGACATCCAATTTTTTTAAAGTCATAACCAAACAGGCTTGTTGGGGGCATTTCATGGGGTGAGATTGAAAATACTGGTAGGCCAGAGCAGTTGCAGATATGTGACTTGGAGTATCTGTGTCTTATGATGGACAGAAATAAAAGTGAGCACACAGAGAAACAGACTATTCTGTAAGAATGTGAAAATTTGAATCTGGAAAGCAACTATATAAACACTATCTGACGACCTTTGTCTTTTGGGGCCAGTGGCTGTTGCTACAATAATAAGCCCATCTGTCTTCCAGAAGGGGCAGTGGAGTCACCTAGGTGCTGCCACATGTCAGGCACAGTGGGCATCAATCTACAATGGGCAGTTCTCTGCAAGGCCATGTGGACACATTATTACAGCACAATTACATTTACAGACTGCTTTTCAAATACATACTCTCCTGTATGTATTACTGCTACTTGTGAACATGAAGTGTTATTTTTACTGTTAACTGATCACTGCAGGAAAAACAATCAGTAAATAAGCAAATCACCTCTGATTAACACTTACTGTGAATTATATTTTAATTTTTAAACATTTGGAGTCACAAGAAGAGAATACTGGCCAAGCCTGAATCCCACCTATGGGTTATAAGAATAAAGGTTGAACATACTGGTAAAGTTTAACCCAAAGCCTGGGCGCAGTGGCTCATGCCTGTAACCCCAGAACTTTGGGAGGCTGAGGCAGGTGGATCACCTGAGGTCAGAAGTTTGAGACCAGCCTGGCCAACATGGTGAAACCCTGTCTCTACTAAAAATAAAAAATTGGCCAGGCGTGGTGCCACCCACCTGTAATCCCAGCTACTCAGGAGGCTGAGGCAGGAGGATCACTTGAACCCAGGAGGCAGAGGTTGCAGTGAGCTGAGATTGCACTACTGCACTTCAGCCTGGGTGACAAAGCGAGATCCCATTTAAAAAAAAAAATTCAGCCCAAAAGATTTTCATAATTTATTGTTATCAATGTCTTTAATCAAAGCAAAGCCCTTACTTAAAATAGCCAACCAGTAAAATACTAATAAAAGTATTAGTGGGGTTATAGTTAATAAATTTATTGAATGTCTTTCTACTTTAGATTTTTAGTCTTATTAAACATTTGACTTTAAATAAAGATATTGACATTGAGATACTTTATTCTTATTCCCTTCAAATCACTAAATAAATCCAAACACAGCTACAAACGTCAACAATTTTCGTTCTTTTCACTTTAATACTGGCTCACTACTCCGCAGAACCATCACAGCTGACTAGCAGCAGGTCAAGGCAGCAAAACTAAAAGAAAAATACAACAAACCTGGATTTCATGTCTATAGCAGTCCAGATATTTACTGTAATCAATGAACAACATCTGGACACTGGTAGCAAAAAGAACAAGTAATTAAAACTATGGGTTTGAAAAACATGAGTGTCATGTTCCACACCCCATATAGCTGCTCAAGAATACAGGACTCTTAGCAGGCATTAACAAAGTCTGGTTTTAATGTAAACTCATCCTCCTCTTCCCTGACCCTCTAGGGATTCTCAGACGTTTCCTGATAAGCAGATCTAAACAATAAGACAATAATATCCCAAGGAGTTTCTGGCACTAAGCCCCAGAAATCCTTAAAGCAACAAGCACTGTCTAAAAGAAGAAAACCAGGGTACTTATTCTCTTCATGATTTTCTCCCCTAACTCTAGGGAACATGAAAATGCCTTTCCATGCAGCAGCTGTAAAATTCCTTCTGAGGCAGAATGTTTTAGACTAGAGATGGTCTGCTGTTGATAATGTCATTCCCTGACACCTGGAACATTTTGAAAGACTCCTCAGAAATGACCTTTGGGCCAGACCAAACTATGTGGGCCAGCGAATCCCTTCTATTTATGGAGGCCTGAATAACTTGGAACCTCCTGCAGTGACCAACAGATTAAAGGGTAAGTTACTACAGAGACAACAGCAAAGTTATATCGGACACCCTTAAAAAATGCAGAATGTGGGAAACTCTGGAGAATATATGACCAGTTTTTTCAACAAATAAATTGCAAGCAAAAAATTCAAATTTAAAAAAGGAGATGGGTGTGGTGGCTCATGCCTATAATCCTAGCACTTTGGAAGGCTGAGGCAGATAGGCCACTTGAGCCCAGGAGTTCGAGACCAGCCTG